AAGCAATTTGGACAAGAAGCTAAAGCACCTGCATACATAAGTGAAGGCGGAGATAAAGTCAACAGGACTGGCTCCCAGGAGGCCATCCTAGTCCTAATCCCGGATATTGCCACAGGAGGGGGTATTGTATGATTATGGAACTTTGTACCTTGTTGCACGGGTATTGTCTTGAGGTTGGCGGAGGCACCTAGTGCCAGTCTACCCCGATCCGTGACAGCTCATCCTGTCATGGGAGTCTTCAAGCAGCGAGTACTCTTCAGGCTCTTCAGTGCTTGACCCATGCTTGCAGTGTGACTAAAGCCTTCCTGGAGCCGGCTCAGAAACAGAAAGAAAGCGGAGAGCAAAAGTGGCTTGCAGCTTTGTTCTTACCATGGAAAATTCAGTCTGGATGTCGGCGAAGAAGAATCCCTTTGTGGTTGCCGCAGATGTTGCTGGAAAACAGTTCTTGGTGTACACAACAGGAAAGAATTCAAGGACGCACTAACTAAGCCAAACAGGCAGATTTATTGAAAGGATAGTACACTCTCAAGATGGCGAGGGCAGGCAGGCCTGGAGAATAGCAGCTGCCGAAGAACAATGAGACTTGGGAATTTATTTCATTAAAAATGAAGGCACAAAATATTCAAGACTTAGGTAGGGGTGGCGTTATACTCGAAGGCTTTCCTAGGTGGGTCCTCGCGGACCATTCCTTTCTGTCTGAAGGAGGGATTTTTGTCCATATTTGGCCCCATCAGAACTGTCATGGCAATGCAGGGGTTGGAGATTTTCCCTAACTGCAATGCTAATAATATAATCCATTATAATGAGCTAAAATTCATCTTGAGGGGCAAGATGGTGTCCTGGATCTGCCCTTGGCCACCGAAATCTAGTTCTGGCTGGTCTGGGAGCTGTATCGCTTCTTAAGAATGGTCTCACCCTCTCCTTCCCTTCCTCCCCCTTCCTCCCATGGCCCTGTTCCTGCTGCCTACGGTAACACCATGAGTATAGTGATCATTTTATGTATTATACTTCTGTATTGTGTGTCTCCTCCCACTAAACTGTAAGCTCCCTGAGAGCAGAGGCTTTGCTTGTCTTTTCCTTCACGTAACACAGCCCCTAGAATAGTGCTGTGTTGG